GGGGGGGGGGACACCCGGGGGGGTTTGTAAGGGAATGTTATAGATAATTGTTTTATGTGTTTTAATGTGTAGGTATATAAATGTTTTCAAAGACGTTTATGTTGAAATAAAAATACTTATAGTAATACTTAAAGTAGTAACTTATAATACTTATAAAAATAGTTATGTTGCCTTGTATTAATACATATACAAGTATGTTTCCTTGTATTAGCTTGCCCTCTTGTGGACATAATGCGAAAAAAAAAAATTGAATGGTTCGAACCTATGAGTTATTTTTAGAAGGAATATTCGAACGTCATTTTTGAGCAATTTTGACAGCCCTATTGCTGGATACCCAGAGCTATACAGCCGGTGATAGACAGCAGGTTGTCAAACCGCCCCTGAGTCATCCTAAAATATGCCTGGAAACAGCCATCATGGATGCGAAGCTCCTGGACCAACTGGTGGTACTCCCCATGATCCTCTTTATTAGGGTCTCATGTACCCACACAGATCTCCGTTTCCCTGTGCCCAACAAACTATTTACTGACAGCCTCTCACCCCCAGCTAGAGCTACAGCAAGTACCCTCTGCCTGAGCATTTTAGGAACTAGCTACTAATTACTGTCAGATAATGAAATAAATAAATAAACAGTAGATTGATTACACAGGGAGGTTAGAATAAGGAGGTGAGTCCGTGGTTGCCTGGCAACAATAAAAAGGCGCAGCAAGCGTTTTATTTATGAGTGGCTTTTTTTTTTTTTTTTTAAAGGCAGTGCTGTGCGCCTCGTGTTTTGCAACCTGCTAAACTTTTTCTGTGTGATCGGGGCCTTACCCTGCTCTCAGTCTCTATTTATCATGAAACTACTGCTGCACATGGGACAAAGTCACACATAGTGACAGGGCTGATTGTTTGCAGCACATGGATAACCCAACATACATCACAATCTTTTAGAAAAGCCACCGAGAAATCCATTTCAGACCACAACAATCGCAAAAACAGACCGGGAAATCCTGGAGCAACTGAGAATTCAAACATGCAGATGCACAGGCACTCTACTTGGCCATGCACGAGTTTGTATTGACGTGGTGAGTAATATACCAATAATATTTGGGTTTTTCAGGTGTCACCTGATGTCATAGGTTTTTTTCCCTCCACAATTTTTAAACATTTTATGGACTAAATAATTAGTTGCAAAATTAGCAGATTCCAAAATGGTATTAATGTTGTTGCTGCTAGTACAAAGACAAAAGGGATTTTCCTCAGAACCACAGTTTCCACAGCTCATTATTTGGTTGTTCCACCATCCGCCATTTTCACTATTGGGGATCATAACTACAAAGAACTTACATTATACTCTTTCTTAACTGGGCATAACAACCGTATTGCAAGACGCGTGTTTCCACTTTTAAATGTGTAAAAAATGGCCTCCTTGAGTGTACTCTCCTCCTGTTTCTGAAGGTTGTAGCCATCTTTGTTGGCATTGTAGACATAGAAAAGCATTGGGTGATTCGTGTCACAGAGCAGGAATATGCCCATATTTTACACGACTCTAAAACTGTATCAATAAGACACTGAGCTAAACAGCGTTTACTCTGCACCTCTTAATCCTGGGTGGCTTTTAGGTTTATGACAGGTTAAACCAATGGGGGCTTCCTGTTTTCACTGGAAACCATCTATCAAGCACGATACATTACATGGACAGTGTACTTCAGGCAACACTGTGGCTATGATTTGTGTGTTTGACAGGAAAAGCCATTCAGTCTAAATGGGTTGAGGCGACATTTTCTTGTTTAGCTTTTTTTCTGCTGGCTGCACTATTTGATCAGTGGCACAGATTGTGGAAACATTAGCTGTTTTAACTGAGAACATATTACTGCTTGTGTGGATGGATATGCTTTTAAACAGGTTGCAAATAGAGAAATTTGCCAATGATTTGTAACTTTCTTGGTGTTAATATTGGAAATTTTATGTTCATTTGCAAAAAAAGTTGTTTTTAAAATATTTTTAAAAGACAATATTTTATTTCACATGAATCAGATTAGGATGCAAACTTTATCCCCCTTCCCACTGCACACAAAAAACCCCAACCAACAAAACGCCATCCAATTCTGTCCAAGTGGCGATCACACATTATTTAAAATTTGTTGTCACCGAGTTTGAAAGCGAGACTGAATAAGTTGGAAATATAAAAAAGAAGTAACCCCTGAAACATTTTCACTGGCCTTCATACACTTTCCTCTGTTTACAAACCTGTTTTTGAGTGTGTTTGTGACACTGAACGTGACACACCAAAGGGGAGTCTATCAGCTATTTTTAGTGGGATTTCCTGCATTTAAAAAAACTCACATAAACAGGCTAATTTGGGTGAAAAAGTATCTAGTTTTGTGGGTGCTCCTGTTTTTAACTAGAAAAATAAAATGTATGGTTTAACAATAATTAGATAAAGAAAAACATAAAATTGGGGCCTGTAAACGCAGCAGAATGTTTTCACATGTCCAAGGAGCTGGATATTGGATACCGAGCGCTGATGGTGGAATTAAAAGGGCAATAAGTTCCAGCTTTACTGCCTCATAACACAAAATGACCATAATGCATCTCATAATTTATCCCTGGGGCCGATCAGCTAATTATGTACAATTAGCCCCTGGGGAAGAGGGCATTTCAGTGGGATACACTGTGTGCCAGCATAGCTGCTGATCTCGCATCTACTGTTGAGCATAATATAGTGACTTTAATGCAGATGCCTATATTTGAATGACTCTAATTAACATCAGGCTGTCGATAAGGACTGTTGCCTCGAGAGCTACTAACCCAGGAGGGGGAAATCTTCTATCTTATGATGAAGGTTATAGTGACAAAGTGTTAAATAACAAGCGCTGTATACGTGATTTCTTCATTATTATCTTTTAATTAAGGTCATAATGACAAACAAATCCTCTCCTTTCAAATAAGTCTCAGAGTAAAGCTGGTGTTATTTTATATTTTTAATATTGTTAACAAATCCCATGAAAAGCCACATTTATCCAACTATGTCTTGTCTATGTAGCCACAGTCTGGTGGAGCCTCTGTGCAATCGAACTCCATTGTTGTCCGGCATTATTAGAAACACATAAAGGAGCTGTTCTGTTGCGTGAAAGTGATGTATTGTTTTTTAAAATGAACAATACTGTGGAATAACAGGCCAGATTTACTGTAATGAAGAAACAGTCCAAATACGACTACGTGCCTCTTTTGTGTGTTTAAAATGTTTTTTGAATGACACAATGGAGTTACTTGGCATGGAGGCACAGCATTAACTATCAGGCTGTGGCTACAAAAAGAAATCTTGTTCATAGGATGAATTGTGTTTTGGTCTCTTCTGGGATCATGTTGATTAAAAATAAGTGTTCACACCTTTTAAAAAGAAAATGAAACGACTTAACAAAACTCCTCCTGAGCTGAAAGAGGAAATAAAAATGATTTTTGCTTTACTTATCATTATGAAGTGAATGTTGATTGCCATCAGTGTTTAGATTGGTTCTCTTTAACCCTTAACCTGACGCCCCAGTGGGTTGTTACCAGGGGTGGGGTTAAAACTTGATACTGCATAGTATCACAATATTTTGTGTGGTGATATTGTATCTATTTTTTTATTATCTAAATTATTAATATCACAAATACAAATTTATGTTTTGGTAGCCTACTTGAATGATAAAATCAATTGCTTTTTCAGTCAACTAAATACATGACGCTGCAATAAAAATGACTGAAGTGAGCTGAACAGACTGAAAACTTATTAGATTAAAAAAAAAGTTGTTAATAAATCGCAATACTCAGCATGTCGCAAAACATTTAAACCACTATTATTGTATCTTGACTTTAGTATCATGATAGTATTGTATGGTGGGACCTGTGAGAAGCCGTTACTGGAAACTGTTTGGAAAGGGACACTTTGAAAAGTACTGCGGCAGGCGATCAGATAAACCGTCTATCACCGTCTACCACGGCTAACTCCAACCAATCAGAGCCAGTCGGGAGAAGATCAAAAACATCTTTCCCATCAAGAAAAGCCTTTGCACTTCGTTCAGTGAAGAAATACTTAAGGATTATGACGTAAGTGAGGCTATTGCAGCATCTACGCTAACCTCTTTAGGAGCTGTTGGAGATGTTGTAGTTCCTAAAATGCAGTACTTGAAGCCTGACAAGATGGATTTACGTGTAATTCTTGTGTGACCATTCTGTCTGCCACCAGGTACAGTCTCCTGGGAAAATAAAGGCCTGACTTACAGCACAGAGGAAGTGTGTCAAGCATCGTGCAACTAAGAAAGTTAGAGAATAGCGCTTTCGTTTTTTCCTTGTAGCAATCCCCACTTACCAGAGAGTATTGTGAGCTAGTTTATTGAGCTGCCTTTTAACGAACTGCCCTGGATGAATTTAAGTATCCTCTGGTGAGCAGGAGGTCTGCAAAGTACATTGAAATCACAATATGGCCAAGTGCAATATCCAAATCACAGGAGCTGCAATGTTTTTATAAAGGTAAAATGTGTCACAGACATAAGGGAACATGCTCGTTTGGTACACCCCAGCAAAAATCGCCATTCCCACTATAATCACAGCTCATGTTGCAATTGCAGTATCTGTCAAAATAATCACAATATGTGGGTATTTGTAGGCTTTGGGCTTTTATTGTGAAAGGCAACAACAGAAGGAGTGTAGCTGTAATGCACTGCCACTGACCATGTGAGACCACAGAGCCTTTATCTTACTATCTGACCCTCATAAGTAAAGGTGCAACTCACAGCCCTCGGCTACTGTATCATAGTAATTTGTCTGCAGTTACTATCCTCAGCAGCAGATTATGGCAGGTGGAACACCTGGAGTAACTGTGGTAGATTTTGTCTCTGAAGAAAAGAGAAAGAGATTTGGTTTTCTTTGCAACAGCAGCCCAAACACAACACCACTTGGAAACGTGGAGAGGAAAAGCTGAAAATGTGTCTACTTCCACTTTAATTAGCGCGCTGTTGGTCCTCTGTTGACAGGCACCATGTTCGTTTTCCCCCCCGAGGCACCGCTCCCCGAAAGGCCTCGCAGTGACGCTGTGACGTATGTGAATATTCCTGTCAGTCCCACATCCAAGAAGCAGCTCAACTACATGGAGCTGGAGATGCAGGAGCCCGGTCCCAGCCCCCGAGGGAGCGTCGCACATCTCCCCGCTCAGAGTAAGAATGCACCACTTTAAATAAGTAGAAGTGCTGACAGAAATAATGAGTGTTTCTTACCTTATTCAGACAGCAGCCATGTTGAACAGTCAGTTGGGCAAACTGTGGAGAAAAAAACAACAAGAAGCATTAAATAATCACTTGTCACTTCAAAGATTCACCACTCAAAACTCAAGTATATCTCAGAAATGCTTGTTGGATTGGAATTAACTACTTAATAAACTGAGACACTTGGAAGATTGTTGACAGTTGTTGAGGCAGATAAGCAACACATAAAGCATTGTATTGTCCCAAGTGCATCTTCATGTACAACAAACAAAACAAGGATCCACTCAGATACACTGATCTATACAGCAGGCACTGCTAGTGGTCATAAACAGGTGTTTAGAGTGAAAGTACATCAATTAGCATGGCGCCATTAGCGCAGAGAAACGGCGTATAAAATAAGTCAATTGTCTTGCTCATCTTTGCTCAAACAGTTACTGAGCAGTATAGTGTGAACCACCACAGCCAATAGGGGTGCAAATCACCGGTTTCATCATGATACAATATTTTCCAATATTAGAAAGTCTGCCACGATATAAGTTCGATTCAATTCAGGAGCCTGCCATCGTTATTAGACGATATTATCTGCCCATATAACACAATCATTTAAAAAAGAAGCTGCCACCCCTTTCTTTTTTTCTTTGCCATAAGAGATGAAAACAACTTAGAAATAATGTAAATAACTGCTGTAACCGCTTAAGTGCAGTAAAATTTACTTTATACTGACTCCACTAACACACATATAACAGCACATGGAATAAGTTAAACTTCAGGGCTGTCTGCCAGAAAGGGCTTTCTGTCAGAAAGTCTTTAAGGAAAACTCCTCCCAACAGCGGTTAAACATGTTTTAACAACTTCGTTCAACACAAGTATCAAATTCAGCTCAGTAAAACAAACAAAAAACAAAACAATTGCTAGTGACCCAATATTAGCTTAAGCATGTTAACATTGCATAAATTAGCTTAGCGGCTAAGTTTTTTTCCTCTACTCATACATTAATAAATCGCATGTAACATTTTTATTTTTCTTACTCATGGACAGTTTAAGTCATGCATCAAACAGAACAGTTAAGTTGAATTTCAGCCTGTATGCACGATTATTCAGCCGAACATTGTTGAAACAGAGCAGCTAAAGTTGCTGTAATGAGAAGTTACGTCATGTCTTAGCTCGTAACGGCATTGTTTATGTACGGCATATTCTTTGTCTGTTGCCCTGTAATTTCTCTGAAATCCAAAATATTTCCACACTGCTAATTTTTTCCTAAATAAATAACGTTATCCACATCGTCTTTCTCTCGGCAGCTTGCCATCTGCCTGCCGCTGTTTAACGGTAACACAGACTTTTGAAATAAATGCATCCTAAACATAACTGTTCTCACTTTGCTCTGGATCGTTTATCACTGCATTGTTGTATCGATCCAGATCAATGGATCGTTAAACCCCTAACAGCCAATAGCACAAAGCTGGTGTGTGCATTTGTTTTGTGTGGAAGGAGATGCACATGCTTGCAAAGACTTCTATCAAGCACAAATCAACTGATTGGAAATGGCATCTACAACGTTGATACAGCACATTTCACAACACAACCTTTTAGAAAGACACATGTAGATTTCTCAGTGTAAAATATTAAGTATTGTCTTGGTACCAGATATGAAGTATTGTTTTAGTATGACTGCGAGGTATTGTAGGTACAGGTATAACATTTTTTACAGCCCTTGACGGTAGTTGTAATATTAAAGTTACACTGGTGTCTAACCTCAGTGAAGGCACACACAGGCAGACACACAAAACTCCTTTGCTATTATTAGACACCATTATTAAATCCTGCTATTAATACACTGTTCCACTGTATGAATGCTAACCACTGTATAAATCTGGGCACTCGTACCAGAGCACTGCCCACATGGACATGCTGGAAATGCCCATAATCATCATCACAAACTACAAAATCCTGAATGCTTTTTAATGCATATTCATGTCCCCATTAGGAAATCTTAACAAGGCTCCTTCATAGATTAGATGTAAGCAGATTTTTAATGCAAAGGTTTGAATGCAAAAGAAAGTCCACATCCTGAACTGATTAAAGTAAAATGACCCCAGCCTTGCCCTCATGTTCTCGCCTTTGTTCACACAATGTACAAGGCTTTCTAATTTGTGCTCACGCAACTCATCTGTGCTGCTGCATTTAAATAAAAAAAAAGGCTCAAACCCTGCAGAGAGATATGAAAGAACTTAAAACAAACCAGGACATCAATGCCAAGCAAGGATGAAAAGTTGCTCCAGATACACAATTGTTCTGTCATTCTATTTCACTTTGTCGGAGTTACACGAGTCACTCCCAGACGATTGAGCCGATTTCCTCTCGTCTCACTAAAAGACAGCTGAGTCCTTGTCATTGGAGACGCTGTAGTGAGCTGTAATTGACAGACAAGTTGGCCATCAGCGTCATTGCCCCTCAGGAATATGAGGACGGCTCGAGCTCTAACATGAGAGGTTAATATCTGATGTCAGCAATACAGTTTATATCCCGGCATGCGGCCTCATTAATCTGTCACCCGGGAGGAGGAGCGTCTCATCTCGCCACTGAAAGGGGGTCACAGGGCATTCAGATCACAGCTGTGAATTCACAGGCTCAAATGGGATCCTCCTTCAGGGACTATTGATGGGTCGTTAGGAGCTGTTGTTATTTGCTCAATTTTATGTGACTGTAAAACACATAACTCAAGCAGGAGACAGGGGACGACAGTGACATGCAGATGCTTTAGCGACCGAAGCCAAACATCGCACTTATTTGATTTTCACACAAGGAAGGTCAGCGAATGATGGCAGTGCTTGTGACGTGCATATGGAACATGGTGCATGAGGGGAATTTCAAAGGCCTCATCTGAATCATTTGCATATTCCTCTGCTTTGTGTGGCGACGCTCAGTTGCATACCATAAGCAATCACGTTGGCAGCGTGGGCAGTGATTCACTTCACTCTGAACTCTCTACTGTCATGTTTGTTTGGATGTTTTCATCAGTTCTCGAAATTGGATTTTTTTAAAAAAGATGATTTACTGTCACCTACAACAAGAACGTCCTTTATCTTACTAAAGGGACAGAAATTGCTGCAACTAGTAATTATTTTTAAGCCAAATGTCAACAAAAAGTGAAAATTCTCTTTTCCAAGTTCCTCAAGCTCAAGGTGAAGTCCTCAAATGTCTCCGTTATTGTTCAACCAAAGGCTAAAAGATCCAAATATATTTAGTTTGCTTTTATAAAAGACTTAATAAAGCTGTAAATATTAGTACCAGTGATTTTCTGACAGTAATGCCGGAAAAAAATATGAAGAACAATTAAGTGATTTTTCAGATTGTTGCCAATTAAAAGATTGCTTCCTTCACGAGGATTACATGTCTGTTGACTTAATATGAAGCTGTAGCCAGTTAGCTTAGCTTAGCATGAATAGACAAGGAAAAAGCTAGCCTGGCTCAGTCTGAAAGTAACAAAATCTGACCACCAGCAGCTCTAAAGCCCCTGTCTCACAACACAAAAAAACCCCACTGACACCCTCTAACATCTGACTTTTTATTTAATGGGAAAAGCTACAATCAGCATTCTTTCCCACGTCAAATCAGTCACAGGTATTTATCGGCTCTAGCTCCAGTCAGCAGTGATGGAAATGCTAATTCTAGCCGGGGCAATGCAATGATGGGCTGCCAGATAATACAGTCTGTATTAAAGCAGCATTCCAGCAGCCTTCAAAAGCACTCAGCACTGAGTTTGAGAGACTGATTAAGTAACGACAACATTTACACTGGCCTTCATGCCGCTTCCTACTGTTTGGACACCTGTTTTCCAGCCCATCATTGACGTTGAACATGACGCATGACGGGGAGATTCTTTCTTTTTCCCACTCTGTTGTCATATACACACAGGTCCAAAATACACACACGTGCACAAACAGGACCTATACATGCATTAAATGGAGAGGTGTCAGAGCGAGAGGGCTGCCTTGGACAGGCGCCCTGAGCAGTTGGGGGTTCAGTGCTTTGCTCAAGGGCACCTTGAGGCGAAGAAAGCCCAGGAGGTGAACTGGCACCTGTCCAGCTACCAGTCTGCGCTCCATACTTGGATCCGTATGGGGACCTGAACCGGCAACCCTCCGGTTCCCAAGCCAGATCTCAATGGGCTGAGCTACTGCTGCATATCACCTATCTTTGCAGGTTTTCTCATGTTTTAAAAAAGACAGCTTACATGCACTAATTGTTGTACAAGTTGTAGTGCACAAGAAATGACTAGAGATCGTCCACCCCCTTCCCCTCTTTTTTTCCCCACACTGTTAATAATCAGTGACCAGGTTAGTTGTTTCCAATCTTTATGCTAAGCTAACTGGCTGCAGGCTGGAGCTTTATATTGAACAGACAGATATGAGACATATCAATCTTCAACTCTTGGCAAGAAAGTGTAAAAGTGTTTTTCCCAAAACACACTTCAAAATGAAAATAGTTAAATCAACTAATCAAAAATTATCCTTCTTTATTTTGTCTTTAAATGATAAGTCATCTTTGGATGAAAAAAAGAATCATAAAATTCATTTAAAGGCTTTCAATTTTTCTCTGTTTTTCCTCTTTCTTATGCATCTGCCTGATACTACACACCCTTTGGTGGCCACTTCAGACCACAAATGACCATTCGCAAATCAGTTACTCACCTGGTGTTACAATGAATTTGTGGAGAACACTGTTTTTCTCACATGGCTGTGGTAAAGGAAGAATCCAAAAACTGAAAATCGTTGATAAATTGAAGTCATAGGGGGCTCATTTTACATGGTCTACTGCTGGTTCAGTTTGTTTGTGTTATGTTTTGACTGCTGTTTTAAAAGGGTTCGTTCATCACAAACAAACTCCTGATCAGGGTAGTGGTAGAGCAGCGAGGTAAAAAATAGAGTGTGGCTTTGAAGAGAGCGTAGATACATTTGACTTTCAGTTCAGTTTTAAATAGTAAGGTTTCAGGCCTGGGCAGGCCCATATAAACTCTAAGAAGCATATGCTTTAGTGCTGCCCCCGACTAAGAATTTTCCTAGTCGACCAATAGTCGTCATTTAGGACCATTAGTCAACTAGTCGCCAACATGATAAAAATATTAATTAAATTATAAAATGATATATTTTGGGCGGGGAAACACAAAAGTTTGAGTTAAAGGTGTGAGAAAGAATAATATCAGTAAAATTGTTAACACTGTGCTACATTACAGAGAAATACAAACCGTACTAATGAACCTTCATTAATATAGGCCTATATTTTATCTACAAGTGCACGTCACACACTGAGCGAGCCGCCTGTTAATGACGCTGTCGGTAAAGCAGTAATGATTGTGCTAAGTGGCTAATGGGCATGTAGCTACTTCCATGTTTCAGATGATACGTCATGTTTGTAGTCGACCAATGAAGATGAGTTTCCATATCACCTTGGGTTCATCCTTCACCTTCTCAAAATGATCCCACACTTTGGATTTCCTGCCCGACATGTTATTAACTAGCCTGTGGAATAACCGCAGGTACCAGCCCTGGAAATTAACGTGACTCCTGTCTGACTGCTGGGCGTGGCCACTTCCTGTGTCTGTCCTTTCAAATTAAGGTCCCACATGGTCCAGTCATTCAGGTTTTGATTTATTTTGACAAGGCGCAGCTCCTAATAGAGTTTCACATTTGTTTTTTGTTTGTTTTTTCCCCCACAACTAAGTGACCAATGAAATCTTGACAATTTATGACCTTTCTGGTCGACTAACGTTTGGTCCACTATTAGGGGCAGCCTTAATATGCTGGCCCAGGTGCGCTACTGGTCTTTGCGTGAGACTGAAATGCAGATGTGTTTTAAATAGTAAGGTTTCAGTGAAAATGCATGTGTCTGGGAAGTGCCGAGCTTGCAACTGGACAAATAAGACTTGGATTATACAGCACGAGATGTGTGTGTCTGTAAATGGATGGTTTGCTATAGTTTTGCTGCTGTTAAATGTGGCCCCCTATGACTTCAATTCATCAAAAATTTTCTCAGTTTTTTGATTCTTTGTTCACTGTGGAGGCATGCGAGAATAACAAAGTTTTCTTTTTAGTTGCCCCGTAACACGTGGTCATCATCATGTCATTGTTGATCATTTGGGTGGTGTATTCTTTTAAATCAGAATTGAAAGCAAATCCATATCACACATCGTGATAATTACCTTGCTGCACACTTTTTCTTGTCCCTTTGCTAAGTACAGAGGGTGGACATAATAACAGGAACACCTGTGGAATCAAATGCCAAAATTAACTTTGTTAGGCTAAGAATTGTGGTAGAGAGGCACTGATTAATGCATAAATAGTTTTCTAGTATTGCTCTGTGATGGAGCCACATTTGCTTACAGTATTTGTGCCTTGGCTGCAGAGCTCATATGGACAGTGTCACAGGATGAGTGGCCAGCAGAGACTCTGACTCTGGGAACGATCTGGGAGCCCCAGTTTGAAGTGTGAAAGCGTTGGAAGAGAGAGAAACACAGTGCACATTACTCTCAAAGTGTGCTACAGTTGAGGCTGTGAAAGGTCTAAATAAAAAGCTTTCATTTAAAAATATATTCCTGTAATTTTCTATCAATCCACCAATCATTTCAGCTCTGTTGAAGCAAGATATTAGTTCCACTATTAGACTTGCTTTGACCTACCTAAAGTTAAGAGGTCAGTTTTTGTGTCTTGACAGGAAAGAGCTCCACCAAGTACGCCCAGATTGACATCACCGCCACAGAAACGGCCCACAAAGTTGGCACACAGCATGCCCTGGGTCGGCAGGAGGGCCTGCACACTCTGGATCTGAGAAGAAAGGGGACACCACATTGATTTCTTCATCACTGAACTGTTGATCTCAGCAGGATGTTTTTTGCCCAAGACCAGTGTACTACATCAAACTCTAGTTTGAAGGAAACATCTCTCTGAGGGGGTTTTCAGTTGAGACTGTTACCAAGAGATCCTCAGAGGTTTGCTGTGGAATTCATTTTGGAATTCATCACATCATCCACACTTAAGTCCCAGGAAATATCTGCCCAATGTCCATTTCCTTAGATTCAGACTTGCCTCCATCATCACAAAGCAACCTAGAGATGGAGCCTCCTCAGAAAAATTTGGCGAAGGATCAGGAGCAATTTTTCAATCTTGGTCTCCTTTTAGTCTCGAGCATTTCATTAAATGGCATTATGTCCGTGCAGGGGCGTCAGGCTAACTTGGAGGAAGATGTGCCAGCCCAGAGCTGAGTCAGCGGCCCCGATTAAACCCCCAGAGCAGAGGCATTTCACAGCTCACTCGGGCCATCCCTAATAACATGCAATATGCTGTTTTTGTCCTTGTTTGGGTGAGCAAGGCAGGGTGGCAGCAGGAGAGGAGGCAGAGATGGTTGTTTATTCTCAGGAGGAGTTCACAGTTATTTATTCCTCAGTGACAACCACATCAGTAATTCCACATGTAGTTGCACGAAACTCACTTTTTAGTTTATTCATATTTGGGGAAACTTTCCATCCAGTCTTACTCAGAATGCTGTAGATTTCAGGCTCACTGATTTGAAAAAATGTACAAGTAGAACAGGATTGTGCATGGTGACTTTTTGTTTTTGCCTTAGTGTAACCTATGAATTGATGTTTATCAGAATCTCAGTGCTGCTATTGTTTGTTTTCCTCTACTTCCTAGTTCATATGGAGTGGGATTTACTATGGAAAGTGATGATCGATAATGCAAAGCAGAGAAGATAAAAGAAAATCTTTGGATGTTGTTAATCATTCTGCAACAATACCTGTCTGGCACTCATGGCCATTGTTTGTCAAACTTGTGTATTTTAAAAAAAGTGTTGTTTTTTATACTTGCTGAGGTAGTTTAAGTCCTTTTTTATTATTTTCTTCAATTTTGCAAAAAAAAAAAAAAAAGGAAAAAAGGTATTTAGCAAGTGTTTCTTGGAGCTACTTTAGCAGCCTGTTTTGGTCTCATACCCGACTCAGATTACACTCTATTTTATTGTCTGTAAATACATTTTCTTTCTATTTAGCTGATGTGGCTTGTTGTAAAATATACATGTCCAGATATAATGTATGTACAGAAAGAATATATGGAAAGGGTTCAAGGACAGTGCCTGCCTCCCAAGGCACTATTTTTTCATGCAATACTATTTTTCTTGTAAATTATTTACAGCAAAGTACTGCTTTGATGTGCATGTTCACTTTTTCTAGAACTACAGTAAATCATATATTGGACTTTTTTTCCCATGTACAGTTGTAAACCAGTTTGGTACAATATTATATAAAGCACCTGTACAACTGATGTTTGTTTTCATTCATCACTAAGTATCGACACTAAATGTCGACTGATCTACAGTATGAAGGCAATCTGCTCTGATCATGCTAGCAGAATATATGTTAAAAAAAAATGAAACTAGGCTATACAGTGTCCCACTGACATAATTATATCTTGTTATAATCAAACTCCAAGTAAAAATAAAAGTTCAAATATTTAATTTGCCCATAAATAATTTAAGTCCATTTTATTTATACAGCCCAGTGTCACCTGCGTATTCTATCTATCAACAACTAAATTAATGTTTGGATTCAAAAAAGAACCATGAATTCCGTTTAAATGCTTTTAAATTTAGTATGTCATAGAAAATGTCATGTCAAATGTCAAAAATGGTACAGTATACTATGCTATAAAAATTTGAATAAAATCTCTCATTGTATTAAAAGGTCATAATGTAGTAGGTCATATAAGTAATGAAAAATGTCATAGTACAGTAGGTCATAAAAATAATTGATTAAAAAAATCAGACAGTACAATAGGTCATTAAAAGTCAAAGTACAGTATTCCATTAAAAGTGTGATGAAAAATATTGTTTTATAGGTCATAAAAGAGTGATAAGTGAGTCACAGTTAAGTGAATTATGAAAATTCATACTACGGTAAATACATTATTTAAAAAAAGCCATAGGATAATATTCCCTAAAAGTAATTTTTGACAAAAGTCATCAAAGAGTACGCCAGTAACCAAGTCATGAAAAAATGATAGTATAGTATGTCATTAAAAACTGTCATGAAAAAGTTATAGTAAAGTATGTCATTTAAGAAGTCAAAAACGGTCATAAAAAAGTTTTTAATGACAGTTTCAAGATTTCTGACGACATGCTATTCTATGACTATTTTTCATGGTTTTGGACAACATACTATACTATGACTTTTATAGTATAGTATGTCGTCAGAAATCATGAAAAAAAAGTCATAGTAGTATGTCATCAGAAATCATGAAAAAAAAGTCATAGTATAGTATGTTGTCCAAAATCATGAAAAATAGTCATAGTATAGTATGTTGTCCAAAATCATGAAAAAAAATTATTCATAGTATGTTGTCAAAAACGATGAAAAAAAAGTATAGTATTTTGTCAAAAAAACATGAAAAAAAGTAGTGTGCTAGTTCCTTCTGATGCATGACAATGCCCAGCCTCATGTGGCTGGAGTGTGTCAGCAGCATTGATGCTATTGACTGGCCCACCCGTGGCTGACTGATGCCCTGATCCAGGTCTGGGAGGAGATCCCCCAGGAGACCATCCGTCGTGTCATCAGGAGCATGTCCAGACTTTGTAGGGAATGTAGGTGGAGGCCATACACACTACTGAGCAACATTATGAGTTGTCCTGAGGAAATTCACAGGAGTGGGATAAGCCTGTGATGTCATTTTTCCACTTCGATTTTGGGTATGATTCTGAATCCAGTCCTAAATGAGTTAATGATTTTGGTTTCCATGGACTGTTCTTACATTATTTTGTTCTCAAAGAATTACACTATGTAATCAATAAAGATTTTCGTCTTGAATATTTCATTTATAGAGATCTGGGATGTGTGATTTCAGTGTTCCCTTTACTTTTTGAGCAGTGTACGTCGTCCAAAAATCAAGAAAAAAAGTCATAGCATAGTATGTCGTCCAAAATCAAGAAAAAAAGTCTTAGTATAATGTGTCATCAAAAATCAAGAAAAAATGTCATAGTATAGCATGTCGTCCAAAATCATTAAAAAAGTCATAGTATAGTATGTCGTCCAAAATCATTAAAAAAGTCATAGTATAGTATGTCGTCCAAAATCAAGAAAAAATGTCATAGTATAGCATGTCGTCCAAA